TGTTCATTTTCTGGGTAGCGATGCCACCCTAACGCGAGCATTTCCTCGTCGTTCGTGAACCAGCAAAGTGTAGTTCCGACCAAAGGGGCCTCCGTTGAAAATTGAGCCCTCTATTGGTCAAGCTCGGGGCTCATAGGGGACCAGGATTTTTTTCGGGGGGGGGCAAAGGGGTAGGTTTTTCGAGATATTTTCAATCAAACTTGCGCTTTTTATTTCCTCTTGCACCCTTCTTTCGTTTTTTTGTCCTTTCTTCCTGTTTCTCTCTTTTTTTTCCAGGGGAGGGAAAGCGCTTCCTCCCCCTACATAGCCCCTCCCCCTTTTAAGCCTCTCACTCCCCTGGTTAGTGGGAGCTCTTAATCACACCTTTCTTTTCCTTCTGGATTCCCCCTTTTTTAAGGCACACAAAATTGTGGCAAATAATTTTACCGCAGTTACTGCACAGAATGTAGCCTCACAACACTCTCATATACCTAACGCGTGACATTTTTCATATACATTTAGTTGTTTTGTATCAGGGGTGTGAAAATTCAGCTTTTTCGATGATTTCATTTTTTTTGAGACTAAGGATCAGCTTTTTTGTATGGTCTGTACAAAAGTATGGGGACTTTTACATTTGAGCTTTTTGTTAGCTGTTTTTCAGCTTTAGTTTTATGTAGCCACCCACACCCCTGTTTTATGCACCCCTTGTTCATTCCGGAGGTCGTTGCACCCGATGGAAAGCGTAGAGTTTTCAGACAGTGAATTTTTGTTGGAAGTATTGATTGACCTGAACTATTCGCTCTTGGGATGGACTGCCCAGACTAGTTATTAATTTTTGGTAAGTGTGTGTTGTTTAATACGGAGTGATGACATGGGGAACGGTAAACTCTAATAACGGTTAAGAATTCATTTTGATTACCGGAACAGCAAACTCATGCCCAGTTGATTTTTTTCCTCCGAGCTGCTGTCTGGTGAAGTGAAGACGAGTTGTTTACGAGTTCCAGTCTTGTAATCTTCCCCGTGAATTTTTATCTGTGTGATCGGTCGCAGTAAATCGTAGTTGCCACATGTTTTGCTCTCAGTGGCGCGTTGCATGATATCTCGTAACACTGTATAAGATATGAGGGCTTAATCAAGTTTGCATTTGTGTGTGGGGGGGGTGCTAACAGTGACCTCACAGTGAGAAATTTAATTTAGATAATTATGAAATTTATGTTGTAAGTGCTCGCATTGTGAAAGAGTGTTTCGTGTGATAAATTGTGGGATGATTTAGTTATGGATCATGTTTTGCTTAAAGGTCGTATTCAGAATACTTTGTAAGATGAAAAGATTTGTTAATTTGAGGTTAATTTCCACAAAGAACGTGACAATGATTGCTGCGCCCTTTATTTGCCGCCGTGTTAACACAAAATACACGCCGTATGCGAAAGTTTTCAGGTGTGTCCATTTTCGTTTGTTGGACTGACTTTTCTTCAATCGTTTGATTGCTTTTTCGAAAGCCTCTGATGACCGTCGCCATTACGTGTGTGTCAACTGATAAACTGGACTTCTGGCTGTGTGGCTCAGCAAAGGGCGCAGGACTTTTTGGCCGATTCCCAGACACACTGCTAGTTGATCAACATAATGTCAATCTACCTGCCATGGAGTACCAGACCCACGTGCCCTGTCCCGGTGTCATGTTTTTGCTGACACGCAGGGCCTGCTTTCTATATTTGCCCTCGTCCGTTCCTCAGCCAGTGTTTTGTTAGCGCGCGTGCGATGCAACCAGAACACGCCGTGCACCGGCCTCAAGCCCCCTTCGGTGATGTTCTCTGGATTCAGGAATCGATTATTTAAGAACGGCTCCCTTTCACAGGTGCTCCTGTCACCTGCTCATTTCGGGGACTAGTTATCATTTTGAAAATTTCCCCCTGACCGAGGGAACCCCTTAGCTGCTCCCTCAAACCCCCGGGCTTGGCGTATTATGGATTAACCATGTCTCCCATTTCTTTGCATATTATTATATGTGGATAATATAAAATGACCCTTCACTCACCACCACGAAAACCGTGGAGCGAAGCCTGAATGAACTTCACTTAACAAAAAGACAAATTACACACGGTCTTTGCATTTCGTCCAAGTGCTGTAAATAATTACGAAATAACCAGGCCACGTAGATAAGTGACCACGCCACCCAAAGTTAGACTGTCGACTAGATTGTTTTTATTGCATATCATTTTAAGAATGACTCTGTGAATTTATTTTTACCACTTTATGCTCAGTTTAATAGCCGTATGTTTTCTTAGCAGTGCACACAATGATTCATAAGAAAATGAACACGGGCAAAGATTTTGTTGTTGTAAACACACCTAGACGTGTACTTAAAATCACAAATAAATAACGAACGTGGTTTAGACTTATTAATGAAACAGCTTCTCTATTCAGACAGACATAAATGAACGCAAACAAACCCCACGTCTTGCAATGTTTACGAAGAACGTGGGCCTTGTCTCCTTCAGTCTTGAGCCTCCTTCAAGCCCAGCAGAACAGAACAAAAAGACATCCCTGTCTCCCGTGTTCTGATCGAGCATCACCGGAGAAACCTAACGGCTTCCCTTCCATTGCCAGGCAAAGAGAAAAATATTTAACTATACTTCATCATGCGGAAAGCCAAAGACGGACCCCGATGGGTGTACCAACTTTAGCGACAAGCCGTGCAATAATACGCAGCACACAGCGAGCATATGGGCGCGATGCAAGGAGAGACGAAAAAAACATCGGTCCCGGACCTCGGGCCATTGCAAGAACGCCCCCGCATCACATGTTTGTCCAACTCGTGCCTGGGCCTAGGCACCCGCGCCAGGCCAGGGCCCGAAGCTGGCAAGCCGGGAGGCCTTAAACCCCCCCTCCCCTCTTTCTCTCGCCTTCTCTCTCTCAGCCATTCCCTTCTTGAAGACGGTTTGGAAGAAAGCATCGATTCGTCCGTGCAATATACGATAATGATCATGGCGAAGCCAAGAAGGAAAAGGTTTTTCACGGGTTTTTTTTTTGGGGGGGGTTAGGTCCTTGTCCGTCTTATCTGCCCCTATAAAAACAGTGGCGGGGAAACCTGTGGAAAGTGAAAACCAGCCTGTCGTTGCCTCTGCCTCCGCGTGAACGCTTGAAAACTCTGGAACTAGGATATGCCAAACTGGATCGATCTGTACCTTCTGTTTGCTTGTTCAACACGAGCAAATGGAGAATTAATTTCGGAACGTCTAAAGACAGAAAAAAAAATCACCGCCGAATTCTAGAGCAGATATTGGAACAGTGTGTATAGGCCTAGTGCCTCAGAGTCGGCTGTATTAATAATTATGAAATGTGAAATTGTGATCATCGTTTGTCTAATGAGCCTGTTCGTTCTAGTTGGCACTTGATTACGTCTTTCAAACAGCTTACAGATGTCGTACAGAAGGTTTTTCCATTTCTCATAACTCATGTCACTGTAGATCTTGATATGAGATGTGTATTTCATAGACACTGTTAATTTACGGCTACAAATTGTGTAGCTTGAAACGTCATCCTTTGGAAGAAAATGACACAAACCCTGTAAATTTATTGAAAGCTAGGTTTATGCTTTACTGTAAAACTCCCTTTCAAAATCAACACATTTCGTTACTGCGAGGAAAAATGTCTCCGAGTTTGTCGTTGGGGTGAACTGAGGTAAAGGGGGCCGATCTTCGCCGGGGCTGATGTAAGCTCAACGTCTGAAATAGGCGCCGAACGTTCACCAAACACACTGTGTGCCGCCATATGTTGACCATAAATAACGGACTGTTTAGTATCTTTGCGTGGGCTTTAGAAATGAAGCCGATTTATGGAATGAATAAATGTAATGCGTTTTCCCAGATGCCATTTTTATGGAGCTGTTGAGCTATGTCATTTACCCGGCAAAGACTACGTCATCAGCCTGGGAGTTGCAACTTGAAGATGAAGACTTCATGTGAATGATGTGATTTTCCCAATCACACAGAAAAACAGATCTCGGTAGCACTTCTAGTGATTTTCATAACTATTAGTATGGGTGGACAGGGTACGATGCCCCCTCTCTAAAGTACAGAACTGGCGATATCTCAGTATTTTGTAATAATCCGTCCGAAGCAGCTCAGAAAGGCCTTTCACCTACGTGTGCCATAATTGTCAGCCAACATATGGCTACTATATCAAGTGCAATGAGCAGTAGCCACGCAACAACAGAGGGAGAGGAGATATGCATCGATCGCGTCAGGTGGTTCATGTTGACAACAATATGACGTAAATGAATTGGAAGTTGTGTGCGGCGCGAAATACTAGATGGCTTTGTTTTATTCTACAGCGAAACCCAATAATCTTTAAACTTGCGTTATGCAAAACGAAGAGGCAACAGCAAATGACTTTTTTATTGCTTTATTTATTCAGGGGTGTAATTTATGGATGGGTTCATTAGCTGCCTTTCTGTTTCCAATCAGAATAAACGTGGAGGTGCGCAGTTGACGCAATGGTTGCGTCAGATCCCCGCCAGCTCCTGAGTATTTGATATCATACCCAAGCTTCGGGCTTTAACGCTCGGAGTGCGTTTGCCATCAAGGAGGCCTGCTTCAGAAACTAAAGCTTGGCCATTTCTATGAAGCGGTAAAAATAAAGATCACCTTGCACCGTGTCATTTTAACGTTGTACCAACCATTATTCGCTGCATTTCTGGTCCGTCTGCTATACTTGGGTCCACTGAGGTACGGTCCACAAAGCTCTGTATGTGGTTGACGAATTGCATGCAAGAAAATTAAGAAGCACACCTGGAAGGCATTATTTGGCAAAGTGTACCATTATTGCTCTTAAAAACAGCATCAATACTCGGATACTTTCAAAACATCCGTCCGCCACGTGTCATAACAAAGTCGAAATATGGAAAGAGAAAATTACCTCTTGTATCGAAGTTAATCGCGGGAACGGAAACCCAAAAGTCAACATATCGGCATCAGTGGAATAATGTTTGTGCTTTCTTTCTTTTTTAAATATAATTCCAGCATATTGTCATCTGGAAGAAATAGTTCGTGGGCGAAGTGCGGAAGGGTCGTTGACCTTGAAAGTGCTGGTTCACTTGCATCAGGTTGTTGTTTTGAGCGCCTAAGACTCAGGGCAGATCTCTAGGCAGATTCCCCAAACAGTCGCATTTTCTGCAATTTCAATGCAGTATTGGAAACGTTGACTCTTGATGGGCGTTGTCGAGTACTACGAATTTCCGGCATCAATAGCAGAGGTTTAGTAAGGGTGGGTATGGATATTGGAAGTATTTAAGACTTGTCTTAACGAATCAGAGCCACAGCGGGTGTAACTAAATCCCATTTTAGGGGGGAGTCGGCTCAACTTTATCTTTAAAGAACGTGGAGTTCTTTTTGTTTTCAGTTCCCCTGCATTTAACAATTTTCACATCAAAACTGGTTGTTGAATGTATATTAGCTTGGTAGAAAAGAGTGCATTTCCAAGATTTCTGACAAAGGCATTGTTGTTTGCATGGTGGTCTTGCCATTGCGGCAAAAATATTAACTAATTGTTTCATATTGCCTTCAAAATTAATATGAGTCAGCCTCATCGCTACGCTAAACTTGCTTTAAAAAGCACAGTTTGGAAAAAAAATTGGTGTACAACGGACGTACGACAGTCACTCCTTAACCGCTGCGCACTATGATAATCATTGTGCGCAACTGCAGAACTGACATACGCATATCTTTTGCCTTATTAGTCGATTTAACACGACGCCTGAATAGAAATAATCTCCGTCATCTGATGGATGGATGGATCGTTTGATCACGTGCCATTGGGTTGTAATAGTCCCAGTGCAGCGCAAGGCCACGGCGCAAAACTGGTAGTTGGTGAATTGGAGCAAACTGATTTAACGACCACAGAAAAAGGTTTCATATTTGAAAAAATGAGAATTTTTTTTTTTGGGGGGGGGAACTTTGGCACAACGGTTTGTGCGTGTTGTAGTTCGGGAGCACATGCCACAGTCAAACACATGAGGGGGTGATAAATCAACCTGAAGCGAATGTAACATAAAGACCAGCAAAACTTATTTGATTAGATGACTGCATGCCCCTGCAAATTCGCTCTGCGGCAGAGTTCTGCTGCGATTAAACTCCACGCCATAAAATTCATGACTCCTGACATTTATGAATGGCTCAATCCTTATGCAATCGACAAGCTAATGGTTTCAGATGATACCTCGGTGATTCAAAAAGGTCACGACTATTTTACTCTTTAGTGTTTGTGAAATCAACGTCATCGTGGAGCCGGCTTGAGCGAGGTTCCCCTGGAGAACAATAATGGCAGTCGGCTGGATACAAAATCTGAGCCGAATCATGCGGCCTCCTAAAATTCTGGTGAATGTAAATATTGCAGTAAAATTTGGTGGCAGTTCTGCGTTGAAAAGGACATAATGAGGAACGTTGAGTGACAATTTAAGGAGGAAGGTTTTATTTGATGCATGTTTGAGCTTTTGGAAAATCAGTTCAAGATTTGGAAGAATCTTGACTATTAAGGAGGAACTGTACGCCCTACCGCCTCAGATTTTCTCGAGCCATTTTATGGCAAGGCAAAGACAGTTCGAGGAATCGGATGGCCAATAAGAGGTCAGGTAAAACCGGTTAAATGGATGGAAAGACAAGAGTCACGTCTATCCGCATCCGAGGCCTGGAACAATGCACCGTTTGTTGATTCCAGAACTAACCCCTCAAACACGCCTTTAAAGTGCAACTTGATGGAGAATCGGTGCAAATCCATGGTCAGCAGGGACTCGTGTGCTATCTGTAGCGGAAAACTGAGCCAGCCTTGAGCGTGATTCACGGTATAACGTGTTAAGGCATTTCAATGGCGATTGCCATGCAGATGACGTCGTATTCAAACTGTCAAAAAAACAAACCTTAACATAAAAACCGGAGAAATTACCCTTAAATGCTACCGATTTATGCTGGGGTCTCTTTCTTTTCCCCCTAGAAGACATTCAGGAGGGTTTGAGTCGCGGCCGCAAATTAACTCCGACTGAGAAAATGTCTTCAGTGCACTGGGTTAACGTGTCAATGTATTAAATCACATCTGGGGCGAGTAGAGGCGAATCTTGCGCGTGCGCGCGCGCGAAATCCAAACCACTCGGTAGAGTTACAATAATTTGACTAGCAGAGTCGCGTGCAGGTTATGTTACTCGGGTTTGCATTCACTGTGTGGACAGGTTTCTCCTCTGAGATCCACTGTCGGACGAAAACAACAGCTTGCCCCGGTCCCTTTTCTGGCTGTGCTAGGGCGACTAGCTAATGCTTGTCCGAGCTTTGGAAAAAAAATGAAACTGTTCGTTAGTCCATGGGGGATTAAAACGTTATTACATTTCTTTCCCAAGGACATGAAGGAGAAAAAAATAAATAAATCCACCGAGTTGTCCTGTGATGGGCCCTCCGGAAAATCCGCCCATTAGTTATGATGCAGAAATGGCACGGAACACTTTAGGGAATTATACCTATTCCCAACACATGTGATAGTATATCCCTGCGATTAAGAAATTAGATTATATATATTTTTTTCACTCTTAAAAATGGTGTTACATCATAACAATGCACCAGAAATCGCCAGTGTTTAAATATTTGGAAAGGCACAATAAGTGTGGCTGTCATCGTTCGATAAAAGTGAGTCGGGGCTTATTAAACATCGGGGCTTTATTATGAAAACGATCTGGCAATTTTGCAAATTAGCCGGCAGTCAGGAAATGCGTGCAGTACGAAGTAATTGGCACACAAATTCAGTTCAGGTCAGTTCACTTTATTTTCCACCTATGCATGTCAGAGTAGTGCATAAATTGAGACATTTGAATGGAACAATAAATTAACAATAAGTGGAGGAGGTCTCCAAAAAGCTGAGCTTGTAAACCGGAGACCTCCTTAGAATTGTGTACTTACACATTGTTGAAAATTACGTTTACATAATATTATATACTGGCGAAAGAAGTACAGAGTATTTAAGTTGATAAATTAATGCTACACACAAAGAGACATAGGGCAAACCCGACAACGAGAGACTAACAAGTCCAATCAAAAATGATTACAATTAGAGTAAAGAAATGAAAATAGTATAAATCACTCTTGTCTGCATTTATCCACAAGCCAGACTCTAAGTTGTTTCTTGAAGACAGACAAATTTTTAATTGATTTAAGGTTGTTAAAAGAATTCCAAAATGTAGGACCATGATAAGATATACAATTAAAATATTTAGAAAGGCGTACATAAGGAATATGAAAATCGTTAACAGAACTGGTATGATACATGTGTATCTGAGTGTTTAAGATAAATGTATTTTGGAATGACTTAGGTAATTCCTTTGCTACAAAATTGATGCATAAAAGAGCCGAGCTGGAGTTAATAAATTTCAGAAACCTTTAGGAGTACTGTAGTTGTAAAATAGTGAATCAGAGGGACTATGAAAATGAACACTATTGATAATTCTGAGGTCCTTCTTTTTTAAGACAGGATTCTGTTCAATGCATAACCAGGAGCTTTGCCCCAAGCAAGAGTACGGTATGAGTGTTACAAGTAGTACACGAGCATTATAGAAATCATAAAATGGAAAGAAGTGCTACAATTTGTTAATAATTCCTATGTTTCTAGAAATCAATTTGCATATATAGTTAATGTAATTACTCCAGTAAAGTTTGTCATCAATAACTATACCAATAAACTTGATACAATCATTGCGTTTCAATGGCACGTTGTCATACAGAATATCACCTTGATTGTTAATCTTTGAACCACTAAATAACGTAATATAGGTTTTGTTAATATTTATGGATAATTAATCGGCTCTAGCCCAGTTGAAGATATGCGAAAGTTCTGAATTCACAATGTCAAAGAATATGTCCACATTACTATGAGAATAACATAAATTTGAATCATCTGCAAACATGATAAGGGAAAATTTAGAAGATGACTTAAGGAAGTCATTAATAGAATAGAAGCGGACCCAATAGGGAACCTTGAGGTACACCGCAAGATGAGTACTTATAGGAATTTACACCATCTATAAAAACATATTGTTGACTACTAGAAAGATAACCCCTGAACTCCTAAGCAATACCTCGGATACCGTAATAGGAAAGTTTTGACAAAAGAATGGAACGATCTATGGTATCAAATTCAAGTTTGAACGTGTTGCAGTTGATAAAACTTTGTGCCGTATACTCGTTCACATTGGTTGTGGCTGGAGCATGAATTTCAGTCTGGCATCCATTTTCCAACAATACGGTCTGCTCTTTTGACATCACAGTCGTGTGGCTACTTAAACTATGGCTAGCCGTCGGTACAAACGTAAAAGAATAATTCAAAAAGTGCTTAAAAAGTCCCACGCAGCTACCAGAACACTATAAGATTATAATAAACGTACGACCACATCTTAAATGAAAACAACCCTATTTAAATTAATTGGACAAAATGTCCATTTTGAACGAATAAAATCGAAAACAAACCGAAAAAGGTGCTATTTATGCAAACTTTGGCCGCCCATACAAGTTGTAGGCAAAATGAAAGTGGTCTAGTTCGTACCATCTGAGTACAGTCCATTTTCAAAGTTTTGGTGCTGAGTTGACATTGAAATGTTTTATAATATCTGTTGCGTCGTCACGCGGTATTGAGTTATACACCCTTCCAGAACCTACATACCTTCCAGAACCACGAGGAGTGCAAAACAAGCAAAAGCTAAAAAGTCCTAAATGTGGACTCGGGTCAATTCCTGACTCTATAAGCCGGATTCCATGAGATTGATTAGAACGTGAAGATTACGAAAGAGCACAGAAAAAAACGGAGCTACAAGAAATTGAGGGATCATTGTCCTGAAAAGACTGTAGACAAATGAATTTCAGCTAGTGAATAAATAGATAAAGGGTAGATCAAGAACTAGGGCTTAATATTTCTGGAGCAGACTTGTTTTTTCGGGTGGGGCATTTTTAATTTTTCGTGTAACTTTTTACAGCCTTTCTGAGGGTTGAGCTTACAATTGGGACTTGTAATGAGCTTTTGGATGGAAGGGAAATGAAAAAGACCCAAAATATCACATAGGCCTATTCTCATTTGTTTTCCTAAAAAAGTTGTTGTTTCTTTTAGGAGGAGAGGGGCATGGCCCCCATTGTCCTCAGAATCCCCACTTAAGCTGTTTGCGCATCCCTCGTGCTTGTCGTCATTAAGCTTTAGTCACAGTTTGCAGTCGCTCCAGCATGGAGCATCCCCATGACGTGTACATCAAATTGGAGATGATGGTCGTGCTCTGACACGTGACTTGCAAAAGAGAGACGTATAAAACGCATTTAAGGGCCGTTCAGCAACGAATTGCGAAGCATGAGTACCAGCGATGACTCCAAACCCGCACCAGAAGTCTACCTTATAAAACAAGTTCAAACTTATATATAACGGTTTGCCCGTACCCAACGTATATTAATAAGCACTGTATGCTCAGTGCTTGTCCGAGATGGGTACGGGCAAACCGTTATATAATTAACATCTCCCCAACGCGAAAATACATCTTGAAAAAGTTCAAACTTCTTGTGATTTTTGCGGTTAAAAAAGGTTAGCTAGTTCGCGTTATCTATTAGGCGCGTTTGGGCGTCAGTGAACCAACGTCATATCACCTATAACGATGCGGATCCGCGTGAAACAAACAAGCCCCAAGATGAAGACAGGCCAGTCTGTGCCATAGGTGCTCACCGTGGACGAGTCGTCTTGGTAGCCCGCCTAGCCTCTCAGTCAATAGCGCTTTGTGACAGTGCCACTTAAGTTAGTACAGTATAGTCCGTCTTGGAGATAATCACTTCCGTGGAAGGGAAAAATGCACACTAATTTAGAGTAAATTGGGCGGGATAAGCATTTATTGAAGTGTGATTCTCATGAAAATTTCAATTTTATGTACGTAGGTCAGCTATTTGTTATTATTAAATATTATTAGGTATGGTTTTATTAGCAGAGTAAAAAGTCTAAATATTGACAAACCTCAATTCACTTTTATGGGGCAAGTCTTACCGTATTTAATTTTGAAAAGAAGCGTCAACATTAGCCGTTAACCTAACAAAGATGTTGAAGTTGTAACACCATTCCATGATATTTTACCTAATTTGTTGTCGCTGAGTTACATTTTTAATATGTAAAGAAATATGTAATTTTAATTCAGTCTTTTAAATGAATCTTATTTTCAATATTTAATTTTCAATTTAAGGGTTTTTGTTTCTCTTTTTTCGTTTTTTTTTATGCTAATGAAGATCTCCATATTCGTGTGCGAAGCCCGCTTCTATTTTCATCCGATAATGTTCACTAATCCATCTGCCGATAACAAGCCACACATCTCAAAGACAATTTGCCGGATGACACTCGAAGGTAGACGCTGGATATCAGAGCTGCAAATCCCGCCCAGGGCTATGATCCAGCTCCAAAAATAATAAATAAATAAATAAATTAATAAAATAACTGGTCTACCACTGAATTCGATAAACATCCCCGGGCGATGAGGGCGGTGTTCACTTAATAAATTAAGCCGCATTGGCTTCAGCTTTCGACGCGAACCTCAGTTTACTGCGCGGGCACACTCCTAGCTCCCCCCCCCCACCAACACCCTAGCGTCATCCAGTGTAATTTCTCTTCCAAAATATTGGCGGAGCTAGAAAATCTATACTTCATTAGTACGGCTGAGGGGAAGCGGCTGATTTCACCCCCGCGCGGCAAGCAAAGACTCGCCGCCAACCACTTCCAGCCGCTCGGCTCACCGCTGCAAAATTTTCGGTTGCGGAAAAGAAAACGCAAAGGTATTAACAGTTGTTTAGTCACCGAAGAGGAAATCAAGGTACACATAGTAGCCAATAGTTGCAAGCAAACTTCGTATAACGAGAAGTGAAGAGTGTCCCTATTATTTTTATTAGCCTCATTTTAATGAGACGAGAGGCCTTTCTGTGTAAATTAATGGCCCGTGCAATTCTTGAGACAACACTGTTATTCCTAATACACGACCATACCTACAACTGCATTCTTGAAAACCTTCAGGATATTTCTATCGATGCATATCTCTACTTGAGAAGATGGTCTTGAATCCGGAGTTATTTTTTTTCTTCCTCACATCTCTGCTAAAAGGCTTTATTGATCCGTCCTAGTGTTAAAAAAAGATGTAAAATAACTGCTGCCCCTTTAAAACTCATTCCAAGTTCGTCTCTCAGTTACTGGAACGCTTTCAGTTGGCATTTCTGGATCAAAATCAATTTGTTTCATCTCCTTGGGCATATTTGACCTCTTGTATCCAGAGTGAAAAGCACGGAAATTACCGCGAGAAACATATTAAACTGTGGACCTGTGATTCGTCCGGTTTGTTTTCCTCGATATTACTAGTCTGATTTAAAGGAGCAAGGTACAGCAGCCAAACTCGCCCGCCGCCCGTTCGATCCGTCTGAATATGCAAGGAAGCAAATGCGATCAGCCGTTGTGAGGGCACGTCTTACGTCATGTGTTTCTATGGCAACAGATAGCCTGCGCAGAGGGGACAGTCACCGGTCTTTGAATTGAGGAATTGATCAGTAGTAATAAATGGGAAGGCAGAATTTAGTCCAAGTTTTTCTAACGCGTGACGGATATTACCGTGTGCCTGTATGACACAAGCAATGGTGTATGATTTCAGGAATTGGCTGGTGGCGATTCCTGCGACCAAATGAGCGAAGATGCGTCCAGTGATCCCTTGCATTACACTATATATGAGCAAGCAAGCTGGCAGGATTGGGGTGTTTTTTTTTTTTTCGTTTGGCCGTTAAATTTCTTGTGACGTCACAGGAGGTAGTCTTTGGCAGACCAAGGTTTCTCCCTCAGCGGTACATTAGGCATGAGACAAGGCTAAAATTTGCTGCCGCACTCGTTTAAATTGGAAAAAAAGTGTCGAAAGTGATTCAAAATCTTGCATTTGCAGAAGCGGTTTTATACCAAGATGTATATGTTTCCTATTGGCGGCTATTCCACATATTCAATAAGCACCACGCCTGTAACAAAATATATGTTGCTTACGAGAACGAACATGACGATGGATTATTTATTCTTTTCCCCTCTGAAATTCCAAATCCAGCCTTTACTTTCACCCGTAGTTAATTTCACCTGTCAATCAGAGACGTATTAAAGACAGGCGCAGTTATGCCGAGATGGTTCGCAATTGCATCCGATTTTAAGCAAGGACATACCTTAATGGCCCTTTTTTGTTGTGAGGCATATCAAAATCATTAATCAAGACTCTTACTCACTCAACCCAGATACGTCCGGGCATACGTCACTGTGACGTAGTTTGCATGGCGACAAAGGCCACATATGGAACGCAGAGTATCTGATATATACCACCTTGGAAGCCAGCGCATACACCGCGGGGCCTTGTGCTTACTAAAAATATCGCCGAACTACAGCATAGCGTTCGTTTCTGCAAGAGCACTCCGGTGCATTGGCATTTGAAAGAAAATCAGCGTTTCCAGTGAATTCACCTTTTGAAAAAAAGGAAGACTGTTTAAAAGGCACGCCAGCCAAAAATACAAATGATGGCGGCAGGAATTGTGAAAACATCGTCCATACACTCTAGAATGTTTTTTCTTCTTCTCAGCATAAGGGCATTTTATAAATGGGGAGTATTTGAACTGTCTGCATCGCTCTACGAGTGTCAGACACGATGCTTTGAAGTTTAATTATTCCAGTGTAGTTATCATTTATAGTAATCAGTCTGCTTCTGAAAGCAAAACATCAAACCGGTATACACCATTGCACTGCATGAACGCAAAGTGGACAGTAATTGGAAGGCGATTACCTCAATTGTTGCTGACTCCAGGTGATGTTTTAGCAGACAAGTTTGCAATCGCAGCTCAACTTGTCTGCTAAAACAATCGAAAGTAGATTGCAGATTCTTCCATTAATGTTTTGTTTTTCTATTCAGAGTTTAATTATAATGCAGATCAGTGGATGTCAATGCCTTGGTTATTTTTGGAACCCGACCACAGTCTTGTGCCTTAGTGCAAAATGTAATTTATGTAATTTAATTTAATTTAATTTAATTTAATTTAATTTAATTCTTCTTTATCCTGGGTAATCCATTCAGTGAGCCAGCTCACTGATCTCCCATGGATCCCAGCTTACGCACCCAAAAAATATAAAGAATATCGAAATTACAAAGCAAAAAAAATTCAACAAGGATTTAAAAAAGCAAAATAGATAAGAACTCGTTGTACAAATTAAACTAGGAAAAATTGCACAGAAATGCACATAAACACAAAATGTCACTGAGGGCAATGTACCTCAACACGACTGTGCAATACAATACATCATAAAATATACAGAAAACTAAGTTACCTTAGCTTTTGAACAAAAAGATGGACTCTTGCTGAACGTGAAGATTTCATATGTTGTGGCAAGTTATTCCATGTCGACATGGTTGGTCTTCGGAACAGAGGAAAAATTGAGTTTAGCAGTAATAGTCATTGGCAGTTAAACTGGTCACTGTGTTGGCTACTGTGCTCCCATAAGAAATTGAATTAACGCACATGAAAAATAACTATACTCTGACACTTGGTAATACTCCTTTTCAGCCAACAACTTTGTGAAGAAATACTTAAGTTTTATCCAAATTCTTCCTGATTTCTAAACTTTGCCTGAATCTCTCAAGTTCCAAATCACTTTTGAAATTTAGGATCCGAAAAATATGGCCAGTGGTGTAAATTTGCGTTTGGGGACTGGGGGGATGGGAGATCACAAATAAAAAAAATCGCCTGGCCCTGGAAATTTCAAAAGTGGGGGAGGGGGATTTCTGGACACCACATGACACAAGGGGGCGCTGTTCATTTTAGAGATGTACATCTTATGTATTGCAACCGTAGCATTACATCAGCACGGTGTAAGATTTGAACTTTGCATGGTGGAAGTAGTGCATATGGTAAGGATTTTCGGATGCACCATGGGATCTCTGCCCGAGGCTCGTCTACCCGAAACCAAGTTTCCCACCTCACCATGCACAGAATTCAGCACCTCCATGCTCCAGTGACCACACAGCATGTCATCCACGTCTAGCATCCCGCTGCACGCTCCATCGCATCTGGCTTCCTTCATAAAAGGACGGCCAGAGCATTTGGGTCGAAACATCAAGCTGACATTTACCAGTTCTCTTCAGGACCTCGCCTCTTCTTGAAGAGATCCCACAGTTTACCCGCAAATCTTCTTTTTCTTTCATTACGGTGTATTTGAAACTTTTTCTCTCTTCAGTGCTGTCGAAAATATTTTGATTGTCTCTAAGATCGAAAAATGCTCCGAAATTCTTTCCTTTTTTTCTCACCACAAAAGAGTGGGGGTGAGTCAGTACATGTAGCCCCTCCCTGGTAAAACAAAGGAAGGAGAGGGGCGGATATAATGCACCCATTCCTGGGATTTATGCCCTAAATGTGGCCCTCCGCTCCCCCCGCAAGGCCCCGGTTCAGAACCAAGCCGCTCGTCAGCATAGCGTAAACAGCAGCCGATGGCAAATCATGGCCTCAACCTGTTAGCATTTTGTCGTCAGTTGTCAAACTGAGATTGAGAGAACCAGTGGACCAGATCAAATCTAATAGAAGTCGCTTGGTTGCCTCCGTGCAATCTCTTCCCCCTTCTAGTGTCGTTCATGAAGCGCTTGTCTGACAGGTTACGTCTCTTATTGAAGCCACGCGTGTCTGCGAGCTAGGGCAGTCTCCAACGTTTTCACATGCCTGACGTATAAAAAGGTTGTAAACAAACTGCCATTTTTTTCATATTATTATTATCCAGCATACGCCAAGTCATGTTTTTACCCTATGCAGAATAAAATTCAACATCCTCTTCCGTTAATGAAAATATGCAGTAGGCTTCAGGTTTGCACTTACAACAAAGTTCATTTAGAAAGTAGTTTTATGATTGATTAGAAAGCCATTGTTTTTTAAAATGCGGGTTTGGCACATGCGCACGGGGCTATGATACGTTGTGGATTGTAGACGAAGTAGAAATTTCCACCCAGAAGACCGATCCGTTAAGCCCATCTGATCCAGACTCGACAGTGTTCTGTCGGAATCATTACGGCCGTGATTTATGTCCAACATGCGTGAACTGAAGTCCGACATAATGACTGCACGTGCATTTTGACGCCCAGCTGTGGAGCAAGCAAAGTAGCACTGGATCACGTGTTGCAGGGCTCAAGGGATTGCAGCTGGTACTCGGAATTGGTTCCTATACCACGGCAAGTAACCATTGAAAAAAAAAGTGAAGAGCAATACTGATGGTCTGCCGTAGTTGGCTACCGGGGGCAGAACATGTCAGCGCCGTGTTGATTTAATGGCAAATTTTCCCCTAGAATGCGTGGATATGTCAGTCTTTATCTATGAGCCACCGACAAAGGAAGAGAATCGCATTAAATTAGGACACAGAAATACCTTCAGATGCCAGCTTATTTTAGAACTTTAAATATTAACCGATGCACAAAATTGACATGTCAACCTCTCAGGCTGATTATTTGGTATTTCCTGTCAAGATTCGATGACAGATTATAACCAATGTCGTTAATCGGCATACTTTATCTTGGCTCTCTTTTAGATCCGAGCTGGGGGCTTTTGGTGGAAGCTTTCTTCAGTTTGTTGTCACTGTCGTTGTTGTCCTTGTTGTGACACCTGCCAGCGTCGCTCCTCGTCCATAGAAGATCTGGACGACACCTTCGACGACAATCTTCCAATATGTAGTGACCACAGCTCCGCAGGTTCGCATCACTCCCGCCTTCCGTCAACTGGTTCCCGTCGGTCATCCTGCAATGAATCCCGCGATTCCCGCCGCAGCTCCACGCCGGTGTCCGAGTACCGGCGCGGCAGCACGCCGGTGCCGGTCATCGACATGAAACCCATAGAGTTCTGGCCGCCGAGCACGAATCAAGAGACCGTGCAGCCCAAGCCACTGACGCGCCGCTACACCAACGACTTCGGCTCGTTCAGCGACACCGATCTCAAGATCGAGCCTAAACTCTACGAGGTGTCCGAACAGGAAGAGGACCTGACGGACGAGGAGAAGGTTGCGCGCTACAAACTCGGTAAGATCCACTACGGGTTGCGATATGACGTAGCCGACGAACAGCTCGTCGTTAGAATTATCAAAGCCAGGGACCTGCCACCTCCTGTGCTCTACGACGAGACCAGACAAGACTTGGCACATTCTAACCCCTACGTCAAGATCTGTCTCTTGCCAGACCAAAAAGACTCAAAGCAAACCACTGTCAAACGCAAGACGCAGAACCCCGACTTTGAGGAGCATTTTCGGTTCAATATCTCCTACCAAGAAGCACAGAGGAGGCTGCTACTCCTGTCCATTCAAGATTTTGATAAGTTTTCACGCCACTGTGTAATCGGGCAACACATCACTTCGCTAGCTGGTCTTCACCTTATCAAAGGTGGTCATTACTGGAAGCCACTCCAACCGCCAAATCAGGTAAGTTCGTCAAGACATTTTCTCTGCTCGTTTGGGCCGTTGAGTTTTTGCCGGAACAACCACGCACAACCGTTAACAGCATTTAAACACCATAAGAAATATTTAAGTAGCGTCAACGCATTTTTATGTGGGGAGTCTACACGAAGACAGATCGTCATCTCTTGGTCGAAACATTGAATATCCGTAATAACTTTTTCTCTGAATACATCTTGACCGCAGTGCAAGGATTTTATCTGCCTTGAGCAGAAACACCCCCTCATCGGTTGAAAGGAGCCATGTTAGCTCTTTTCTACCAGCGACGCAACTGTAACGCATGCATTTCATCGTAGTTTTTAAACCAGCGAAGTGCACTTCTGTCCGAAGGAGCCGCTGTTGCTGGAAAAATTGCGCCCTCTCTTGGTCTAGCTCGTGGCTCATAAAGTCCTCGAAAATTGCGTACATCGTGTAGATCGGTGGTAAATAGCCGCACACATTTTCGACAAACCTCTTCGATCATATCCTCTTAGGTTTCAACCGTGTTCCACGCGACTTTTTACATGTATACGGCTACCGGTACGCCATAGCCACAGACCAACCGATTAGGACGTGGCCAGAAATAAAGAAGAAGTGCATAGGTGAAGTAGCGCGTGTTGTTATCCCCGCCACCAGATCACGTGCTGACCTGTCCTCTTTACAAGAAACACTCTTGATTTATTGCAGTCAAACCCTCAACATTTTTGTTCAAAATGTCACTCCTCGCGTCTGGTCTAGAAGACACCCCGCATATTGTCCGTACTACTGAAAGCCAACTCGACGCCACAGCTGTATCCCTTTGCAGTGCCGCTTTAATATCTTAAGCTTCCTACGTATCCTTTTTTTACCGATCTTGGCGTGTTTTTTAATTGATGTTTCAGAACAACCCAGGCCGCGGAGAACTACTGATCTCTCTCAACTACTTGCCGAGTGCCGGCCGGCTGAACGTTGACGTCATCAAGGCGAAACAGTTACTACAGACGGACATCCACGGGGGATCGGGTATGTTGATTAGGTGTGGAAATCTTATATTCACCGAGAGTGCCGTCAGTATGGCTCAATAATAGAATTACAAAATCTAAACATTTTAAGTATATGTACATCAATTTACGCGTTGCATATCAGGAAGAAACATTTGCCATGAACGTTAAGTGAGTTAAATTACTTCTAAGGTTGATGCAGGTTCTGCCATTGTGGTATTTAGTAGTCTATAAAAAATGATAGCATTACAGAGTTAAAAACAATACTCCCCTTTTCAGTTTCAACATTTCTGATTGTAGTTTCAGTGATCAATATTATGTTTTTCTACGATGTAGTTTAATACGACGAGAACATGCAACCGTAGACGCTTTTATTACAAGTGCAAATTGCATATAAATTCCCTTGTCCACATTCATTTGCAACAATTTAGTCTGTGGAATCTGAGTGAATCTCACTGCGTGCACTGGAACCATATTTCATCGACATTGAAACCTGAATAAATTTTCCCAGAACTTTCCACCCATTAATAGTACACGCTGTATCTTGTAGACAGTAATCAATCAAATGGATTGTTAGATATGATGGGGGTGTTCTGTTTAGATTGTCCACTGGAAAAACGACCTGCCATAAAAAAAATTAGTCCGTGTTTAATGGTAAGCGCGAGAAGATATACGATCCTAGATTGGCGCAGTTGACCCTGCACTTTCCGAGGTACAACCATAATTCTTACTCGGAGGGGGGTGGGATGGTTTGCTCGCAGGGACATCCGCTAGCACATCTTCAACCTTTCCACCTCGCGGCTTCAACCATCCATGTTGATGATTACAGTCGTCATCAAATATTTACCGGCGAAATCACCACATCTTTTATTGAATCTCGGTTGTAGTGATGAGAGAAGCGATATCCTATCCGACATCAGATGAGGGCACACGCGCATCACTCACAGATCCGAAGATGGTGTGTATACGTCAATGCGAAAACGAGAGTGTTATTCTATCCTCGCATCCTGTGCTTACTTCTTTCGCTTTTAATTTATTTTTTTCCCCGACACGGATTCAGTTACATGTCTCTTGTACCGATTGCAACTTTGTGAAGTCAGTAGTATCTCGTTAAGTTTGTCGGATGCCTCATTACATATCTCCCATTCATTGTGCCCAATTTCCTTTCTGGATTATATTCAAGGTATCAATAGTACGTCTAAAAATCATAAAGGCGAATACACTTTGCCGTATTAAAAAAAAACTAGAAAAAGGAGCATCCCTGTGTAATTGTACTTTCAAACATAACTCTACTGATTGTTAATGATGAAGTTCAAATCAACATAACTATTTGCTGACTTTTGTAAAGATCACATTCTCCGACTGCTTGTGATCCCCTTTTCTGCCTGTGCGTGTTTACGATAATGGGATTGAGGCAGGAATATCCACTGTCGTTTTGTCCCCTCCAACGATCAGATCCCTTCGTGAAGCTACAGCTCATTTTGGACCAGAAGGTGGTCAAGACCAAGAAGACATCGACCAAGAAGAACACGATCGATCCCGTCTTTAATGAGACCTTCAGCCTGCATGTCACGCCCAGCGCGCTGGATGAGGTGTGTCTACTCGTCTCGGTCTGGGATTATAACTCCAAGAGTAGAGACAACTTCATCGGTCAGATGATCCTGGGCAAATATCCATCAGGTAGGAACAACAATAACAAATAAAACGTGAACTTTTACAATAGCAACAGTACAATAGAGTTTATTGTCTACTGAATTCATTTTGAGTCATGTTCACGGGGTGACTTTATCCATTTAAAAACTACTATTCTGAAGGTCATACCGGTGCTGCTTTTTCAGATGAAGTCAAGGTTTAAACTTTTAACAGAGAATTTTGTTGAAAGATAGCAATATAAGTCAATAGAAAGATTTATCATTTTTGTACAAACAAGACTTAAAACTCATAAGTTTCAGCACTACAGATAAACGGCGGGAAAAAGGCATGGAAGTTTTTGTTCGGTGTACAATCTGGAAAATTTAGAGGAGCATTTGCCTTGAGAAATGAAAACAGATGGCTTCAAGGATAATAAATCCCTGCTCCAGCCTCAAAGTCAGAGCCGGGCAGAGAGGTTGAGGGAGAGAGAGAGAAACAATGCCATTGATTCGTGATCTGTAAAGGCGATTTTTCCCTGTCTGCAGCGCGATGACGTATCGAGTTTGTAAGTTTGACGTCACTTCAGGTTTAAATCACGCCCACTGCACATATATGGAACCATGGAACCGAAAGTTGACGCGCAACTTTAGAGTTAGTCCAATGGGAGCCTGCAATCAGTGTTGCGTCCGGGCCGCATGTATCATGACGAAGTCAAGAACCGGATAATAAGTGCGGCCGATTCGTAATCAGCGCAGTTCTGTACGGGATTGTAATGTCGCGGTTTGAATCGCAGCCACCAGATTTCGTAGCTATCGAGTGTCACAGCTGCTAATTACTGGCCATCCAGCGCAGTGTTTGCTGCCCCGTTTGCCGTCAGTAGCCGAAACTGATGAGGAACTGCGCTTGACCAGGCGCCCGACAAATATGCAAATTAATTAGCTACGACAAGTAGAGAGAAACGGTCATGCCGATCTTCAGGTCGTACCATATGGCTTTGCAATTCCGATAATCGAAATAAATTGATATATACGCACAAGTACCGTGAAGTTTATCTCGCGTAGACCTTCCATCCCACAAAAATAGTCCGATTGTTTCATCCCTTTTTTCATGTAGAGATTCCGGCTATCAAAGTGACCTTTTGTATGAAATTGGAGATGCGTGTAGTGCAGCGCTCCTGTTTTCTTTACTTCCAAATTCCGTGTATCGGTAAGGAAAAGTCTGACAATATCCTATGCCCATATCGGGATGGGGACGGTATTTTTGAGAATTGTATTTTTTTCATCGACAATGAAATTCAAGTTGGGTACGTCCACGTTCGGCCTCACATACGGGGGGGGAAAGACACTTGGCTGTATTCAAATGTTGGCCATATTGAATTGAAAGCGAGGTTAACTTATTTTTTTTCTTTCTTTTTTTTGGGTGAGGGGGAGCTGATAATAAAAATGAAAGTACTGAATTAAACTTTATTCCAAAATAATTTCATTTATGCTGATAAAGATTTTAAAATTTGTGATAAGTTAAATCTAAATGGTTTAAGCCATGCACATTTTTTTAATGAAAGCGAGGCATGGAACCCAAAAAAGTCTGGCACCTCCTCAATTAACAGATAACATTGAATAAGATAGATTCTAGGAACGCAATAACTTAGCTTTCCCGTGGATTAGGTTTATTTGGTTGTTAGTTAAAACCCTGCTCTTAATGGGTTCATATTTTTACTCGCAGTTTACATATCAATTGATCGTTAATTTACAAAGGCGGTTTTAACGTTACTTCTTACCCTTCAGGTCCCAGTGAAATTACGCATTGGCAACGCATGGTCCACGCCCACCGCTCCCCCGTGGCTCAGTGGCACACACTTCGCACGCGTGAGGAATGTCATGAGGTATTCCCGTCATCGTCGACTGTGGGCGTGTCTTGATGAAGGGACTGTAAACAAGATCTCTTGGGAACAGCGCCAACCTCTGTCGCACGTGTCGCGCGGACACGGAGTATGAAACTGGCAGGGGCATTTTTAGACGCGTTCACCGGCCGCCGAAACCTCTCTGCAATAATTTGCTGTTTGTCAAGAAAGACTACTGAAGGCTGGCGTGGTGCCGATGTAGCTGTATAACTCGATATCCTTAGAACAAAATTGGAGACACCCGTACGCGTGACACGGAAGACAGGTTTCTACCCAGTAGGACTTTGGTACAGCACCGTAGCCTAAATGCTTGGCCCTCTGGTCAAAATCTCAAGCTACGCGGTCGTGCAAACTCAACATCTTGGCTGACAACTGAAACAGGGCATAGGAATGTCTGCAAGACGGAGAATCGCGCTGTCTGTCATCGAGAACTTAGTGTGAACTCATATAATTGGTTCAGTTTTGTGTAAGAAACATGTGATACAATGCACAGTATGTGAATTGTGAATGATAGAACCTTTAGTTTGTTGTCAACTCACCAAAAATGGACTGTTCATTTACTTAAGTATAAAGGTGTCGTCCAATGACTAAGTAACTAGCTATACAGTCATAATTGACTGTGCAATTGGTCCATAGTAATATGAAGTTAAACTGGAATTGAAATTAGATTATTATTGAACAAACATGTTGGAACGGAATAATCGAGTATGCTTGCCTCAGCACTTGACTATTACATCGTTATAGGACGGTGAAAATAGCTTCTGTACAGTTTGGGGAGAGAAATTTCTGTCACTGATTGTAGAGCAGCTCAATGTTATTGATACAGGGTTCGATTATTAACATACACTGTTGCTGTGGTAACCCTGGAATGATTTAAACTACGTCCAACTGAAATAAGCTTAATTTCCGTCCAATGTCACACTTTTCCCTTCATTTTATTAGCTAAGCTTCTCCAGATTGCAATTTGGAGACCAAAAGCCGAAAACAAATTTTGAATTTTGAGAGGTATCCAGTTACCTTCTTCAAGTTTAAATGGGTTCTTGTACAATTTGAGAAAAAAACAAATTAATCCGAAGTCTTACCAGTTACAGGCGCTTTTTATTGGGTACTTGTGGAGCATTCCTTGGGGGTCAGGCCTCTCTTCTTTTTTGATGTGGTTTGACCTGAGCATTGAAGGGGGAAAATGGCTTTCCCAAATTGTGAAGTAAACTCGACAGCATGCGTGGTTTGTACAATAGTATTTCCGTCTTCATTATATCGGCCTTCGGAACATCAAAGCACAATAACCCGAGTGAATCGTAACTCGCATACCCGCGAAAACAATGCAAGCAGACACCGGCGTACATCATACGGTGAACGAAAGAGACGAACGAAATCAGATGTGCACCCTGCGTGATGGTGTTTGAGCCTCTGGGAAGGAGACTGCCAGAAAGCTGCCATTTTTTGCGTCATCTGACGCTGGAAATGACGATGAATGATGTTGTGTAGCATACTTTGTAGCATTCGGATTATAGGTCCGCGTTGTCAGTCATGGTATTGCTTAATGTCTGTTGAATTTGATAAAGCCTATATGAAACTGCCAGATACAAACAGATTTAATACTATTCAGTGAGGAGCATTCATGCAAAATGTATACGTACTAACAACGGGTGTGTTTTATATAATAATGCAACAACGGACAACATGGTGGATATTCGTCCCGTAATATTTGTAAAAAAGGTACATAAACCAAAGTTCGTAAAATCGTGTTGGTTGATTGACCTTCATTGTGTATATAAAGTGCAGCACCTGTGACCATTTGATGTTTTAGTAATGAAATATTCAATCTTTGCAAGTTTGGAACATTCAGTGGTGTTGATGATACTGTGTTTACATTATAATTATAATAACCCCCCTTTTCCCCCAAAAACCAATAAAAGGAATGTCTTTGTGAAATCCCTCAAAAATGTACCATTTACAGTTGTGTGACTGAATTATTCGAGGGGACGAATGTCAGTGAGATTTGGAAAAAACTGTGGGAATGAGCCAGTTCGTATTCCAACAGCGCATGCCCAGTGTGAGGCTATTCCGGGGTAGCTACGCGTG